AAGAAAGTGAGGTTGTTTACTAAGATTATATGTGAAAAAAGATTGTGGCTGTGGACATGACATTTATCAAAGATTTTGCAAAGATCTTACAAGTACTTAGTTTCGAAAACAAACAAACTTCCTTAGGGTAGAGCTGTGCACAACTGTAAACAATATTGCTCTACATATTGGAACTGAACCTACAACATACTGTAAATCATTCATGAAGTTGTTCAATTAAGGAGACATTTTCAGGAAAAAAAAAAAAGATTTAAACACATTTTATAAAATGTGCTTGATAGATTTTGACAACTAGTTCAACATTATTCTTTGTAATTACTCAAGTAATAAAATGAGGACTATTAGTTTTATATGGAATTCACAAGCATTCAAAAGTTTAGTTAGTTTTGATTGACATGACATAAGCAAATGATAATGTTATAAAACAGCAGAGAGTTGGATGAAAGCAATTGATGCATGTCCAAAACATTTGCAATTTGTTAAAGGGAATGAGAAACTGCTACTAGGATGTGCACAAACGACTAAATGTTTTGAATAGTGTTGTGAGAAATGCATCAGTGACTGAGAAAAACTGCAACATTCCAACGTTCACTTTTGTTAATTTTTTTTGTAATTTTCTTTGGTGTTTGAACTGTGTTATGGTTTCATTAATATTTAGAAAAAAATGTTTAGTTATCAATGTGATTTTATGATCACTACTAGTTCCGTTTTATATGATATTAACATTTTGTTGTACGCTTTATCGTATAAAAAATGCTTTGGAAACTAGCCAAAATAAAATAAAATATTTTGTATTAGTAATTTAGTTGTATGATGTTTTATGTCTTGTTAATTACACTGTTTTTTAGTTGAATCTAATGAACTTTTCTAGTCTTCTCAACATTAATTAATCAAACTGAATAAAATTAATAAGTTTTAAACTTTGTATAACTACACTAAAAAATCCTGGTTGCCTTAATTTTTTAAGCTGAATCAAAACTTATGAGTTCATTCTTTTTTTTCATTCATTTTCTTTTCTGCATAGTCCCTTTATTAATCAGGGGTCGCCACAGCGGAATGAACCGCCCCTCATGAGTTAATTGAACTTATGTTAAACTGACTTAAAACAGCTTGCCTAACTTTAAGTTAGAACAATAAGTTAGAACATAATTAGCTTAGTTTATTAGGTTACAAAGAACTAAAAACATGCTGTCATGACTAATTCATCATACAATTTTTTTACAGAATAACTGAATACCTGAATAACTTATTGAAATAAGTAACATAAAAATTGTCAAATTTTTGTGATTACATTATTACAGTGTTATTATCAATGTTTTAGTATATGAATAAATCAAGAGAATGTAAAAGATAACTTTTTAAAATGTATATATATATATATATATATATATATATATATATATATATATATATATATATATATATATATATATATATATATATCAGTTAAGTGACACATTTCTATGCCATTATTTATTAGTTTCAATTAACATCAACAAACCTGAACCACGATCATTTATCTCTGCAAACTCGATGACAGCACAAATGAAGCCTGCAAACCAAACTGTCAATCATGTCTATCTTAACATCATTACTGTCCTCACAAATTCTAAACACAAAACTGAATACGTGCAAAACTATAAACCACCCAGACAGCAGATTGAAAACAGCAAAATCACAATAACACTCGAACCATAATAACCCTCTCCTGTCCATTAACAGTAGCTATACAGCATCTGCAATCCGCAATCCGTGACCACAACCTCAGCTGAACTTCCAGACCTGATGGTTTATGCAACAATAAACGAATCTCTCTTTCTCACGCCAGCCTATATAACGCTCAGGTGCCCCGCATTAAAATATGGGACACGTCAACCACCAATGCAGTCAGGGATTATGAATGATCGCCTCACTCTGGAAAGCATTATTTGCAGGACACCACCAGAGTTTTATCACTGACTCTGTCTTGATTTAAATGTCTGCGTGGGGTTCTTCCATGAGGACTTGTAATATTCAGATACAATGAAAACAGCTGGGCGGGAGTGAAGATGAGCACCATAAACGTGCCAGATGTCGCAGAGAGATTAAAACCTGAACACATCAATCATCAACTCCAACTGGGGATTTCAACCTTTACAGTCTCTGGGACACCCCGCGTACAGTAGAGTACTGTGGATGGATAGATAGATAGATAGACAGACAGACAGACAGACAGACAGACAGACAGACAGACAGACAGACAGACAGACAGACAGACAGACAGACAGACAGACAGACAGACAGACAGAGAGAGAGATAGATAGATAGATAGATAGATAGATAGATAGATAGATAGATAGATAGATAGATAGATAGATAGATAGATAGATAGATAGATAGATAGATAGATAGATAGATAGATAGATAGATAGATAGATAGATAGATAGATAGATAGATAGATAGATAGATAGAAAGACAGACTGACTGACAGACAGATCAATAATGAATGTACTACTGTAGAACATTAACAAAGATGTCAAAATGGTGCAAGATGACATCTAAATATGGCAATTTAACATTTAAAAAAGTTAGTTGATTTTTTCCCCACGTTGTTTGCAAGAGAAAATAACATAGTCAGCTACAAATGTCAGAAACTCACAAAATTAAGTCCTTTCTCAGTAAAAAAATAAAAAATAAATAAATTCCTCCAGGTATCAGGGTGTTAGAAAGTACAGGCTTTACTTTGTGGGATCTTGTAAATCAAAGGTTGAAAAGCTCTGCGGTTGAACGGCATGGTGAGAGTCCAGCAAGAGAATAGCTGTTTTGTGTGAATTCACAGTGCATTTCTGACTGCTTAAGAATATATTCACAGGTCCAGAGTAAAAGTACTGAAACTGATAGCACTGTGCTGTGCTTATTGCTACTATTATATCGGGTTGCATATTAATAAATTGGTGGCTTTCCTTTGAGTTATGCAAAGAATGAGAAATAATAATTAGCATCAGCGTTCACACTAACAGAAAATGATGTTATGGTTATTGGTTTGTTTTAGTGTTTGTTGCTTTGAATGCTCAAGCTTGTTAAAGCAGAATGGATTCTGATTGGCTGTGAAGGTTTTTAGAGTTTATCAATCGATTTTTTTTCAATTGTGAATTTTTTTTTTCTGAATTTCAATTATATAATTCTTTAGTCTCTTTTAGATGTGGTATGAGCATTCTTTATATTTATATTTAGAACTATGTATAAAATGTTTCTGTAAATTTTTTCGAACATTAGAACTGTATATTGTGCCCTAATGTAGTAATATACGTGCTGTAGTTATCCAAATGTCAACTTTATTATTTTTTTTTTGATACACAAATAAATTGCAAGATGTTTATTGTCTTTGTATTGATTTTTGGTTACTGACTCATAAAGATTTCAGCTGTTTTAACCCGGTTTAGCCCAGCCCAGCCACAACATTTGGAATTGGTCGACAATGCACGTAATAGAATGACCAATACAAATCCATCATATCAAAAGTAGCCCAATCACTTGCAGTTTGTTACTAATAAAAGGAGGCATCAGTTTACTGTCGGATTTGCTGTATACAGTGTTGACAGAATCACGTGTAAACAGAAATGGTTATGTTTAAAAGCTAAGCTGTAGCTGGCGAATACATAACATTTTTAAAAAATAATAATTATACTGACAATCTGAAGCAAGTCTTCATGTGGTACTTACCATTTTATAAGTATCTCATATGGCTAGTCACGTCTGACTAGACTCGTATGACTAGTCATCGATCAAAATGAAGGATCATTAAATGTTTTGATTATTTAGATGATCCCTTCATCTATTTTTCCCAATTCCAGTTCACAAACGTGACATTTACACATTTGGCACAGGTTTTTAAACATAATATACAGTCTATTAAAAACTTATGTTTTAACTATGCATCTTTTTTCTGTGTGTGAAGTCATAACTCTACACAATGCTCAGAAATTCTGGCATTTTAAATCCATGAAAATATAGGTGCACTCTTTTAGCAAACGTTCCCATTTGTCTTATTTTAGAAAAGTAACAAATAACCTATATGGTTGTAATCTGCAAGCCTGCACAACTGTCACGTGGTGGTACAAGTCAGAAAATTTAAAGTTCACAAATTATGACTTCTCCGCAAATAAGAATGTTTTATATGCAAGTTGGATTATGACAAGGCATTGCTTAGCTGAATCAGTTTGGTAAAAGAATAAGCCATTTACTCTTGTGATGGTTACCACATCACCCCATGATTTTAGAAAGTGGGCATCGATGTATTTAGACCACTTTGACTGACTAACTTCTGTGGTTATTAGAAACACAAATTTCACAAGAAAAGGAAGTAATTAAAAAGATAAATACTGGTCAATGAATCTAAATTATGCACATCACCCCATAATGCAACACTGTTGCTATTGAATGTGTATGAATGTACGTAGAGAGAGAGAGAGAGAGAGAGAGAGAGAGAGAGAGAGAGAGAGAGAGAGAATCCCATGGTCAAGGTATGTCTCAGTTGATCCCAAAAAATCAAGCCCAAATGTGTGACTGTACAAATTCCAAGAGAAGTAATTAAATGATGCATCTGTATGCATGAGATTTGACTATGCAACAATAAATACGGTCAGGGTTAAAGTCAATAGCTCTTGGCATTAATCCGTTCAGCCTCATTTATTCCTGGGCGTCAGAATGTTCAAGCGTCCTGCTGTTTCACAATGTACCGTATGAAAAATGACATTCACCCGGTGTCTGCTCTTTTACCCAGCCAGCACTATACCCCAAAGTGCCGCGGCTGAGCCGTTGGTATTCTTGGGAAATCCACGCTAAGCGGCGTCTCGCATAAAACGAGCAAACTTGATCTAAGTAAATATGAAAGACGACTCAATATATGCACGCAGCGCTTTCTTATGGGGATGCGCGCGTGTGCGTGGAATCCGAAACGCGCGTTTTCTGATAAACAGCTCATTCGAGTGATAAAACACACAACATAAGAATTACTTACCAACAGCTACTTGCAGTAGATCAGCGCACAAGAGAAAACACAAAGACAAGACGGTCATCTTTCCCATATTTTGCAATAAATCCCAAACTCCATTTGCGTTTACATGCTCTCCGGCAGCTCGCCGCGTAATTCCCACCATTCCAACGGGATGCGATCCCACAAACTGGTCATGATGCTGTCCAAGTGTGTCGGAGGGAAGATTGAAGTTTAAAACAAATGCGCACTTCAACGGATGCAAAGATGATTGCGTGAAGATTGCGTAAAGATTATTAAAAGCGTTGCATTGCGAAATAGTCTCCTCGCGAAGGCTGTAACCAGCGTTTACGCACAGACGAGGATTAAAAAATAGATATGGATTTGGATGAAAATCTTTCTCACACACACACTCTGTCTTTCTCTCTCTCTCTTTCTCTCTCTCTCTCTCTCCTCCCTCCCTCCAGAAACAGACACGAACAGAGTCACTCGTGATCACTCGCTTTTTATTTCACACAATTTTCCTTAATCCTACCCTGGCTCCAAACCCTTCCCCTCTAATTCTGTCCACTAAGCCGATTTATTCCTGCTGGATTTTTTTCCCCACACTGAAAAGGTTTTGAAAGATCATTATAGGCATACATATACGTGGTGAGATGCCTTACCCTGCATTAACTGCATAGAACCTGGAAAGATCAAGTGCTGGAAATGTTTCTACGAACAGCGTCACCTAGGGTTTCTGCAAATGAACCCCACTCAGCTTCAATGAGTTCTCAACATGTTACACCAACTTTTCATGCATGTGGGTCAACGGGGGATGTCTATGAAGATTAAAACAGAGAAACCCTTTCTTCAAAATCTGGGTTAAAATACATGCCGGCTGTGGGGTCTATGTAGAGTAATATTTTCTACAAGGATCTTGATTTAATGACTTTCAAAATCATTCCGTAAAAAGGTGCTAAATTACTTGTTGTGAACCACGAGAATTATGTTAAATAAACATACGTTATTCGTTCATTAATTTTCCTTCGGCTTTGTCCCTTTATTCATCTGGGGTCGCCACAAAGGAATAAACCGCCAACTTATCCAGCATGTTTTACACAGCGGATGCCCTTCCAACTGCAACCCAGTACTGGGAAACATCTATACACACTCATTCACAAATACACTATAGCCAATTTATTTTATTCAATTCACCTATAGTGCATGTCTTTGGACTGTGGGGGAAACCAGAGCAAATATATGTTATTTTAAACTTTTTATTTTAAATAAATATATTTCTGTCAACAATAATATGCTAATAAATTAGAATTAGCAAATTAGAATTATTTGTTAATGATACAGTAACACAGACGTATTAAATAATGGAGATATTAAGCAAAATTATTGTTTTGCAGTGTTGCTATTTTTTTTATCAAATAAATGCAGCCTTGCTAGATGTGAGAAACTTTCTAAAATGCAAAAAAAAACTGATAAATTGTAATAGCTATTTTTGTTGTTATAATAAATGTCAAAAATGTTCTTATTTAAACAATATCCTAGAATTCCAGCCTGCATTGACCAAAAGCAATACATTTGATCCATAAAAGTATGGTTAATCCTATGAGGTTGCCAGATCACAGCAGCGTGATTAGCATCTCTTTTTCTTATCAGTGCCAAAGACACTAAGAATACTCTGTTGATGTTGGTCACACAAGTAAGTGTTATACACCATTTGAATATGTTAGGTGTCTACTTTTTTGTGAACTCTTACAATAACAACAAAAGTGTGTGTTTTTATAAAATAAAAATAATCAGTGCTCACAATCTTTTTTTTCCACCGCAAACTGTTCGTAGAAACGCATCACTAAAATGAACTGAAACTCAGGGAAAATAAAACATACAGACATGAGAAATATATCTATAGAAAGCTTGAAGTCTCTGCCTTTAAATGCAGCGAGTGCGTGTTGAAAATAAATATTGTTTGATAATGTAATCAGTATAAAGTCAACACAGTGGCTGTTTCTTAATTCCAAGAATGCTGCGAATGGACTTGAGTTCTTGTGAGGACCAACTTTGCCAGGTCACCTCGGGAGACCGCGAGAACAGGGAACGCATCTTGTGAGAAATGAGATGCTGCATTCTTTCTGATGGTCACGTGACCTTCATGCATTTTTAATGGAAAATTATTTAAACATTACAGCATTCAGACAACAATTTATTGTATTTTCCCTCTTAATATATATAACATGCACAAAAACTTACAAATATACTTTGCACATAACAAGTAAAACAGATTTTAAAACGAATTTCAGCAAAAAAAAACACCCTTAATGTGTTTATGCCTTTAAGATTTTTATTGTAATGTTTACTTTCACAATCTCATTTACATAAAAAAAAAAGTTTATTCTGTGAACTTTAATAATAAATCTAAAATGCTGTGCTTCCCACCTCTATTATCCAGTGGCAATGACTTCTGGGACTTCTAGAGCCAGTTCGGTGCTCAAGTCTGCATCGGTGCATCAATATCAAGAACACATCCAGGAACTTTCACGCATTCTCCGTTCTTGCGGTCTTGAGTTTTAGAACTGAACTTTGGTGGTTGATGATGACATTACATGAGAACACGAGGATGTAAGATCGCTGACGAACGCATATTGAGATATACAGCTTTTGTGTAGTTTCCCAGTCTGAGCTCATTATTTTTAATTCGACCATGTTCACAAGCTACTTTGTTTTTATAATAATCAACATGAGCTGGAGCTGAAACAAAGTAGTAACGAAAATGTGTACTTTATTTATTTCTACCAGGCAATAGTCATGAGGCAAACCAATCAGCTTTGAGGTGAATCACAACATACTAAACTTAGATTTAAAAGTAATGTATGAAAATAGCAACTAAAGAACTCAACTAAATAGCTAAAGTTTTCCTTTGCCACACTTCACTTGTAGCAGTTGATTGGTACTATAGAATCTTCTGTGCAGCATCATGTGTAATTTAGTTTTTCCCCACCTATTAAACCCAGTTGTCTTAAAATAAGCTAAATGTATCATGGGTTCAACAACAACAAAAATATAATTGGTTAGTAATCTCAAATTCTACAACAGGTCTGTTTACATACACTGTAAAACCCAAAAAGTTAAGGTAACTCAAACCATTGAAGTAAATTGATTGCAACAAACCATTTAGTTCAAAAACTAATCCCAATGAGTGCTGTGAACTTAATACATTTGAGTAAACGAAGCACAGTATTTGAGCACAGTAAAACCTGGTAAATGAAGAGAACTCAAACCATCTGAGTACTGTAAAACCCTTAAAAAGTTAAGGCAACTCAAACTTTTTGAGGAAATCGATTGCAAAAAACCGTTTGAGTAAAAAAAAAAAAAAAAAAAACTAATATATGTGAGTTCTGTGATCTTGCTCCATTTAAGTTGAAGTAGATTGAAGTAATAAGGTATTTAATTAACTCATTACCTGAGTTTAAAACTCTTTTCAAATGAGTAGAATAACTCAGTAAATTTTGAGTTAGCTACACTCATTTCATTTGATAAAGTTGAATGTTGGGTTTTACAGGGAAGCATTTTCAGTTGCAAATCGAAAAAAAATGTGAAGAATTCTTTATACAAACCTGAATTTTGCTCTTTATACTATCATCATCCAAAATCTATGCACTAATGGCATATTTTATTTAAAAAATGTAAGAATTATTTTATTGGCATAATAAAATTATACAACCCTGCATGCTAACTAAGGATATCATTTTACACGCATTGTTATGCATGCAGTAGACAAATAGATTAGCGTACCAAGTGTATTGTTTAATCACTGAAAAGGTTAATGTGGCCATATGGGTCTTTACCATGAATGAGACAGTTTGGGGAATCTCCCACACAATGCATACAGGCTAACACTTTACCTGCACCTGGGAGTACATTAATGAAATGCTAATCTTGCCTCCGACAACACCCACAAGGAAGGAGTGAAGCAAGAATGAGAATATTATGCAATACTCGGGGGTCAGGACCTCGTTGCAGGCGCTCTGAAATTCAATCAAAGGCACAAATTAGAAAATATATTTCTGAACTCTCCAACAGAACCTGCCACAAGTGCTAATTAAAGAAATGTGGGTGTACTTGTACGTACCTGAGGCGGTTTAAGGTCCTCCTGATGTTGAACTCCATTGTGCCAAACACTTTGTATTCACCTCCACCCACACCGCAGATGGAGAGAACTTGCGCAAATCCTGTTTGGATGCTCAAAAGACTATAGATAGTACTGGAGAAAAAAAAAAAAAACTATGGGAGCTTATTTCTCAAGAATTGTGAGTTAATATCTTACATTTTCAGGTTGTAAATTTACTGACCTTCTGACCTTTTTCTCAGAATTATAAGAATAGCAAGGTACAAACTTATAATTGTGAGAAATACTGTCAAGATAAATTAAGTTAGAATAAACTTTTCACAGTTTTGGCTTTTCACTTCAGATTTGTGTTTATATCTTGCAGTTAGTTCATAGATGATAACAATAAAAAAGTATTTCTCAGAATTTTGAGAAATAAAGTCAGAATTGAATAAAATCAAGTCAAAATAAACTCAAAATTAAAATGACTGAATTCACGCCTCAAATTTTTGCATTTTACCCCAGAAATGCATTTGTCATATAATTCAAAGAAGAAAAAGTCAGAATTGCAAAAAGTCTATGATCTAAAAGAAGTACTGATAGTAACATGAAAGTGAAAGACCAATCCAAGCCAACCCAGGCTCATTCTGATTATGTACCCCTATATAGAGTTCTGGAGAGAGCAAAATATGTCCCAGGAGCTACTTTTTTTGCAGTTTTTGTTTTCGCAAATCCACCAGAGGTTGCTGTGTATGCTTTTTTCAGATCTCTAACTTTTCTTGCGAGTGCCATTCGCGCCTGCTGTTCTCACGTGAATCCACCAGAGGTCGCTGTCGACTGACAGACACAAACAGTCGTAGTCATCTCCACTCTGAGTCCACGACGTACATGTCGAGCTACTGGACAAACTGGTAACAGCTACAAAATTCACGATCTCCAAAAATGTATATAGCGCTACATTTTCAGAATGAGCCTGTGTTGATCTAAGTACAGTGCTGGGGAAAGATCAATTTGAAAGTAATGGATTACAATATTGAGTTACCGCCCAATAAATTAACTAGTTCCGTTCCTTAGTTACTTTTAAAGGTAAGTAATGTGGTACATTACTTTTGTATTACCTTTTCTTGGTAAGCTGAGGCTTGATCTCTTTCAGAACTTTTTTTGTGTTTTTTAAATTTTTTTTATTGAGGAGCATTGTGGTTAACAACACACTTACCTGTTACAAAAACAAATAAAACATATCAATTTTAAGA